ATCCCATGTAGGTGCCGTTTGAGTCCCAGCTGCCCCATTTCTGATCCAACTCCTTCCTTATGTGCCTGAAAAAGCAGTAGAAGATAGCCCAAGTGCTTGGGCCCTGCCACCCACGTGCAAGACCCAGATGAAGCCTCTGCCTCCTGTCTTCAGCCTATTCTGCCTTGTCATTGCAGCTGTTTGGGGAATAATCCAGTGATTATAAGACCTTTCTCTGTGTCCTCCCCTGTCTCTGAAGCCCTGTCTCTCCAAGAAATAAGTATTAAAAACAAAAACAAACAAAAAACAAGAAAAACAGCAGCAGCTTAACTGTAAGGATTTTGTATTTTCTGCCAGGCACCTGAGTTTATATTTTCAGCTGCCCTCCTAATTTTCATTTGTCATTGATAACCACCATCATTACTACTATTAATACCACCACTACTTTTAAATATTTATTCATTTAGAAGGCAGTTACTGTTCCAGAAGCTAGGGTAGTTGGGAGTGGGAGAAGGGAGGAGGCCAGGCAAAAACCCGTTGACTCCCCAAATGGCCCCATTTACAGGGTCTGGGCCAGATCAAAGCTGGGGGCTAGAAACTTCTTCCAGCTCTCCCACATGAGTTTAGGGCCGTCTTCCACTGCTTTCCCAAGCACATTAGCAGGGATCTGGAACAGGAATGGAACAGATGGGGCTTGAACTGGCATTGCATGCAGTGGCCTCACCTGCTACACCACAGTGCTTACCCCCACATCACTACTTTTATAACAGAACCCTGGACACGGGCGCAGACAATTGTTATCTGCTGAAAAACTAATGCTTGAATTAGGCAGTTTCTCAGCTTCCAGCCTGTTTTGTCGTTCTGTTCAGAGAAGGCACTGTGGCCCTTAGTTCTTGCTCTGGAAAAGTGATACTTAGCTCAAGTGCTTCTGTCAGCCTGATCCTTACCATAATTAAAATAAAAATTTCTCTTTCTTTTCCACATTTCATGCTAGACAGATTGCCCTGCATTGCCAGGAAAAAATGTTAACTGTTAAATTACAAATTGCTGCTCATTATGGAGCATCTTACAGTCAATTGCCTCATGAAAAGCAGGTGCCCTTGTGATTTGAATTTGAAGTTTTTGTTAGAAACCACTTTTTCCTCTGTACTTGGTACCTTATTACAAACTGCATGTCTCTTTTGAGCTGCAATTATTTTAACCTCTCTGTATTTCAGGGCCCTAGGTATAAATCTCAGCTCAGCCACATACACATTTATGCCTTAAAGTGTTCAGTAAGATACACCTTCATGTTAAAGTTATATACCTTTTTTATGATACAATCCCAGAAGAAAATGTCATTTTATGTAAGTTAACATTCATATATATAGTTGTTGTTGGTTGACACTGAATATTGATGAACATTTCCATCTGTAGTTTCTTGTGCTGCAGTGCAGTTCTAGAAAGGTCATTTTTTGTATTTAAGTATCCAAGGTATACCTCACAAAATGCTTGGAAAATTGGAGCAGACATTTGATACAGTGGTTAAGGTGCCAGATGAGGACCTGGCACAATGGCTCAATAGCTAAATCCTCACCTTGTAAGCACTGGGATCTTGTGGACATCGGTTCATGTCCCAACCGCTCCACTTTCCATCCAGCTCTCTGCTTGTGGCCTGGGAACAGTAGAGGACAGCACAAAGCCTTGCAACCTTGCACCCGCATGGGAAACCTTAAAAGAAGCTCCTGGCATGGGATTGGCTCATCTCCAGCCACTGTGGCCATTTGGAGAGTGAACCAGTGGTGGAAGATCTTTCTTCCCCTCCTCTCTGTAAACTTACCTTTTCAATTAAATTCTGCCGCTGTTTCTCTGCAAAATTTGGCCTGCCTTTCCAATAAAAATAAATGAATTATTAAAAAAAGAAAAGGTGCCATTTGGGATCCTGCATCCTGTATCATAGTGCCTGGGTTCAAGTTCTGGCTTTGCTCCCAGTTCTGTCTTCCTTGCAACACATATTCCGGGAGGTTGCAGGTTGGGTGCCAGCCATCCAATGGCAGACCTGACTGGAGTTTCCATTTCTGGCTGTTGTTAGCATTTGGAGAGTAGACAGGAGATGACTCTCTTTGTTTCTCTTGTCCTTTTTCTCTCTCTGACTTTCAGATAAACTTTTAAATGCTCATGCAAAATGGAATTTGAGGTAAGTGTCCTGATACAAAAATCTTCTGAAATTCATCCATACAGGAGTCTTCTAAAACTTCACAAATATGTATTAGGAAAAAGCTAATGAATTTTGGAATTATTTTGCACCAAAGTAAACTTTTAAAATCCATTTTCCATTAAAATTCTGAAGTACCTTCATACTATTGCCAACATACCTGAGTTAAACACAGATCGGAATCTTGTGATCTTGTAATTTTTTTTTTAAAGATTTATTTTTATTATTTTTTTTATTGGAAAGGCGGATATACAGAGAGGAGAGACAGAGAGGAAGATCTTCCGTCCAATGATTCACTCCCCAAGTGAGCGCAACGGGCCGATACTATGCTGATCCGAAGCCAGGAGCCTCTTCCAGGTCTCCCACGCGGGTGCAGGTTCCCAAAGCTTTGGGCCGTCCTCGACTGCTTTCCCAGGCCACAGGCAGGGAGCTGGAAGGGAAGTGGGGCTGCCGGGATTAGAACCGGCGCCCATATGGGATCCCGGGCGTGCAAGGCGAGGACCTTTAACCACTTGTGCCACTGTGCCGGGCCCGATCTTGTAATTTTTTACTTTATTGTTTGGGACACAGATTATTTGACTCATGTTAAGTACTCAATGTCAGTAAAATATATTTGTAATGTCACTATTTCTGAGGAAGTTGTGCTTCTCCAGTTTACAAGGGAGGAAGCCTCTGTTATCGTCGTTAGTACTCATTCACTCCACATGAACACCTGTTTTATCTTCAACACTAGAGATGCAAATATGAATAAAACATGATTCACATTCTGGAAAATTTCATAGCTGACTGGCAGGAGGAAAACGCTTTAACTACATAATCACATTTCAAAGCAGTATGCTATGTATAATAAATGTATAGATAAGGTGTTATGGTACTATACACTAGGGCAAGGTGGGGCCGGGAGGGTTTGGTAGGTTTTAGAAGAAGCCAAAACTTGAAGAATAGTTGATAATTTGCCATTTAGAGAGAAAGAAGAAAGGAACTAGGGAAGGGTTGGGGCATTGCAGAGTGGAGAACAGCCAGGTGGAGCCTTGGCATGTAGATGTATGGGAGGTCAGGGCAATGTCTTCACAGTTGCTGGCTGTGAGGCAAATTTGAGTCAAAATTAGGAGTTCAGATTTCTGTCTTTTGGCAGTTATGAATCCTTGAAGATTGTTAAGCTACAGCTGACATAATCAGATTTGAGCTTGAAAACTTGTAGCAGTTTGGGGCCAGAGGAAGACAGATGGCAGAGCCCAGTACAAAACTGTTGTTTTTCCAATGGTTTACACTGATGGCAGCTGTAGAACTAGCGTGGTGAGATTTGAGAGAGTGTTCCAAGCTGTAAACAACTGAATGTTGTGATCAGTGTGACATGGGACATGTGGACACTGAGGGGAGTGTGATGTCTGGCTTGGCTGACTGGGTGGATTAACAGAGAGCTAGAGGTGGTGTAAAAGTAAAAGCAGGAGTGCTTATTATTTTGTTCAAGGGAGCAGGGCAAGAATTTCCATCTTGTATTAGATATGTTCTCTTTTCAGTGTGCAAGTCTAGGTCTGAATCTTGGGAGGGAGGTAACCAAACATAAGATTATTTTTTAGTTTCTGTCATTTATTTTTTATCATTAAAAATGGATTCTCAGACTAGCTGATCACACTATCAGAAAGGTGGCAATACAGTCAAAACAAGAATTCCTGAATTTCTAAGCATCTTACCAGCCAGGTCTTAACTGAAATACCTTTTAAAAGATACACACACACACACACATACACACACAAAACCCATCTAGTTTCTGTTATTACTGTTATTTAATAACAAGTGAAGAATGCGTTTAGTATGTTGTTAGGGAGCCTTAAACCTCTTGTTTTTTTGTTTTGCTTTTTTTCTGCAAAGCTTTATAAAAGATTTGATCCTTGAAAAATATTCATTGCTTCCTATCCAAGGATACTTTTAAGAGTTCTTGAACAATAGAATGAAAAGAGAATTTATTTTGATGCAAAAAAATTGAACATGCATGTAAGGGGTTTTCAAAATATTAATGGCAAATTTGTATAATGAAAAAACTATGCATGGATTTTGAATCTGCACAAAAATAAATTTACCTGTTAATTTCATTTTCCCACAAACTTTTTAAAATTCCCTCGAGAGCTTGATCTCAGTTGTCTTGCTTCCAACTTCCATGCAGCAGACAGCTGCATGTGTTAGAATGAAGGTTTTGTGTTAGACCTCCGTATGGGAATTTAAAAGTCCATTGTGAATGGTGAGGCTCTCGTCCTAGAAATCCAGAGAGCAAACTAGAATAGTTCCTCAAAAATCTTTGCTTGCTCATAAATTTCGGGGTCGCTGAAGCACTTTTTGGCAGACTTAGGTGGTTGTGCAGGACTTGAGTAGGCTTAATCCAAGGTGAGTTGCCATGTGTATGCAACACACTTTTTGTGAATTTTTAAAATAATGGAGTGTACCTTTTGCACATAAATTCTAGGTGTGGCTTCTTGGGCTATGGTATTTTTCCTTAACTCTGTTCTTGATTGCAATGAAACACAGTTGCCTGCTGTTTCAGGCAGCTGCAGTAGAGTTCACCCAGAAGTGGTAATGTTTCTATATTTAGTAAACCATAGGGTTTGTAAAGCAGTTGCAAATTCCTTCGGGGTAAAATGGTTTCTATAAGTGTCTCGTTTTTAATGAAACTATTATTATCACGCATTAGAGAAATATAGTAGCTAATATATGTGGATCTGTGGGCAAGGCAGAGGCATGAAACTTTTTTCTTAAGAGCTTGCTGAATATTTTAAATAGCTAAAGCTAATCATGTGAACCCTATTTTTACACTCTTAATCTTGAATTGCAGAGCTTTCAATCAAGTATTTACCTTTGGTCCAACATTCCGGGCTGAGAATTCTCAGAGTCGGAGACACCTGGCAGAGTTTTATATGGTGGAAGCAGAGATTTCTTTTATTGAGAATCTTCAAGATCTCACACAGGTAGGTACATGAATTTTAAAATACCAAGTATGTAAATCTCAGGTATTTGTAGCATTAAAATGTTTCTGTAGGGCCAGCATTGTGGCACTGTGAATTAAGCTGCTGCTGCCTATGATGGCAGCTTCCCATATCTCAGGTTCAAATTCCAGGTGCTCCACTTTGAATCCTGCTAATGCACCTGGGAAAACAGTAAATGATGGCCCGAATGCTTGGGCCCCTGTCATCCATTGGGAAGGCCCAGCTGGAGTTCCAGGCTTGTGGCTTTAGCTTGGCACACCCTCAATTGTTGAAATCCTGGGCGGTGAACCAGTGGTTGGAGAGCTCTGCTTCCGCTGTCTGGTCCCCTCTCTTCCTCTCTCGGAGTTGCTCTGCTTTTTAGATAACTAAGTGAATCTTGAGTAAAAATACTTGCTTCTTTGTATTTTTTTTTTTCTGTCTGTGTTACAGATATTCATTGAGTAAAGAAGGTGAACAAGCATTTGGTTTAATAAACACTTACTGAACACCTGAGTGTAGTAAAGTACAAGATCTAGACAAATTTAAATTCATATCTAGCTCTTCTATTAGCTTTGCTTGGAAATTACCTAACTTCACAAGCATTTTTAGCTTTCTCAGCTTTAAACTGAGAATAATTTTATTTGTTTCCTAAATGTAATGTATCTAACATAAATTACTCCATATGGGATCTGGAACATGAACAGGTTTGGTAAGTAGTGACTGTTACTTGCTGGGAAACTAAAGAAAACATCTTGGTAGCTCTGTAAATATCCACAGCCTGGGTGGAAAGCCTTCTTTTCTGCCGAGGACCTTTTGGTTATTTATAACATCATTTGTAGATCATGGGAAATTATCAGCTTAAAAATTAGTTTGCTGTATTTGGTCATACTTTTCATTAACGCACCCTTAATGTGATGGCTGGAACTGCTCCTCTCTGATGAGACTTGCAGCACCAGCTGGTGTTGACGATGTGTCAGTCATTTTGAAGCACAGCCGACTCTTTGCAGTGATAGGTTTTGAAAAGAACAGCTCTCAGCAGGAAGTTGTTCCCAACACAGATGCATATTTTGATGCATGTCTCCTCAAAGTAGGAAATTTATCACTGCCTGTATGACGATTCTATAGCTCAAGCTGGGTGTGGGGAGGACATGGTACCTGGCTTTTTGCTCCCCGATCAGTGTTCTAAGTCATCAGGCACAAAAGCTGGTTCCACAGTGAACAGTGTAGCAAAGATGTTTAGTTGCATTTGCTTTTCACATCCTTGAATCCTTCAAGTACCTCAATTAGTTTTTTTTTAAAGATTTATTTTATTTTTAATTTTTATCAGAAAGTCGTATTTACAGTGAAAAGGAGAGACAGAAAGATCTTCTATCTGCTAGTTTACTTTCCAAATGACCGCAGTGACCTGAGCTGAGCCAATCTAAAGCCAGGAGCCAGGGGCTTCTTCCAGATCTTCCACGCAGGTGCAGGGTCCAAGGCTCTTTTCCAGGCCACAGGCAGGGAGCTGGATGAGACGTGGGGCAGGCTGGACATGAACTGGTGTCCATAAGGTATTCTGGGCATGCAAGGCGAGGATTTAGCCACTAGGCAATCATGCCAGGCCTAGTACCTCAGTTATAGTGACCAGCTCATCCAAACATCTAGCAAGCATTGGCTTTCCAGATTCGGAAAATGAACTGAATTATTCAAGTTGTACTCTTCCCCAGACTTAATTTAGCTTCAGATAATTTCCTGTTTGAAAGCAGGGTGTTGAGAAGCTGGTTGGGTGCTGCTGTGGAAGTTGAGCTTTCAGCAGCGATTGGTGTAATGCCCACTGTCAATGCAGGATCACACAGCCACTTGCTGTCCTGGAGTTCCCTGACAGACATTTTCTTGGTGTATGATGTAATAACATAGAATTAAGTCACTTGGAATCAAGACTGAGAGGATTCAGTTGTTAGACAACTAACCCTGTTAGTGAGCCAACAATGGCTGAAGCTCCCATCTATAGGAAGACCACTTAACTCTTCAAATGTTAGTTCAAGTTTTTCATTGATGAAACATGTCTCTAAATCCTCACTCCTGAGCCCAGCTGCATGGCCTAGCGGCTGAGGTCCTCGCCTTGAATGCGCTGGGATCCCATATGGGCGCCGGTTCTAATCCCGGCAGCTCCACTTCCCATCCAGCTCCCTGCATGAGGCCTGGGAAAGCAGTCAAGGACAGCCCAAAGCTTTGGGACCCTGCACCCATGTGGGAGACCTGGAAGAAGTTCCTGGCTCCTGGCTTCAGATAGGCATAGCACCGGCCATTGCGCTCACTTGGGGAGTGAATCATCGGATGGAAGATCTTCCTCTCTATCTCTCATCCTCTCTGTATATCTGACTTTGTAATAAAAATAAATAAATCTTTTAAAAAATAAAAAGGTAAATCCTTGCTCCTGGTAGCGCCGTGCGTGGCTTCCAGGAGCAGCAGTTCCTCTTGCGTATCAGACTTTGCAGTTACCCCAGGAACAATGGCCACTTGAATAGTTTCTGTTGTGTCTGTGTGTCATCACAAGTCAGAGGGAAGCTCCCACTGGTTTATGTGAGGGCCAAGTGTGTGCTGGGCAGAACCAAGATGGACTGCAACGCCCACTGGTTCACCTGGAAGACAGTGCTGGAAACAAAACCAGCCCAGCAACTGCAACCACCAGCTGATCAGGGTCATGGACTGTGCAGGACCCTGTTCTTTCTAGTACATACAAGAATCTGGTCTGCAAACACCTGAGACAAAGTTTCCTTGGGGATCCCCCCAATCGAGTTTTCGAACTCAGAACGCTAACCAAGAAAAGACAGAGGACAGAACAAGTCAATCAACCACCGCAGCTATATGTTGGCAGTGAAAACTGGGCAAATGAAGACTCTAAGATGGACTATGTCAATCAGTGGATTCTCCAATGACCACATCCTGCTTGGAGTGGTGAGAGTCGTAACAATTCAGAACTGTTGAACTATTAAAACCACTTTAGCAAGACCCTTAGAGTATGCCTGACATCAGGGACCTGGGGTGGGTGGGAGACTTGGTGAGGCTTTTCCCTTAAAATTCCCCCTTACTTCAGATACATGAAGGAAACAATAAGTAAAAACAACAACAAAAAGATTTTCTTTGTAAAATTTATTTATTTCAAAGGAAGAGTTAGAAAGAGGGAAAGCTTTCTCCCAAATGACTGCACTGGCTGGAACTGGGGCAAGAACAACTTCTGAGTCTCTCACATGGGTACAGGTGCACAAACACTTGGGCTGTTCTCCACTGCTTTCCCAAGCCAGCAATACCAGCAGCCATATTGGAGTCCAGCATTGCAAGTGGTGACTTGATTTACTGCACCACAGCATGGAACCCCTTCTGTGTTTTTTAAATACATGTTTAAGTCCGGAGTGTTTTCTAAGGCAAACACACTCCGAAACAATTTTACTTCGATACTAACACCACCCCAGCAGCCACCATGCACTCTCACAAACGCTTTCCTCCACGGAGGCTCCACTCTGTGATTAGCTCTCTCACTGCAAGAACGAATAACAAGGAGGCCTTGTGGAGGTGACCTGTGATTCCAGGCTCTGCTGAAGAGCATTGATTTTATCCAGCTACATCTGGCCTCCTCGCTCATTGAATTGAGCGTGTTTTGAGTTTAATGATACTCCAAATTGGCTTTTTGTCAGCACTTCCAGTGCATCACCACAAACTAAGCATACAGGTTTGCCTTTGACATCAAAAACAACAATAACAATAATAAAAAAAAATCATTGTTCCATTTCTGCTGGAAAGACCATCACTTTGCATCAACTTTTCTTTCCTCCATGATTGCCATTAGTTGGTTATCACACCACTTAAGTTTTGATAACTATATTATGTGTGTTGCCAGTGACATGATTGTTTTGCTTTGATGACTGTTGTAAACCTGCATCTTGGATTTGGAATGTATCTAGTGTTCATATCAACTCCTGAGATCTTTTCTATGAACGGTTATTCCTTAACCTTCACCTGAAGATCAGTTTTTTTTGAAGATTGTTGATCATGGATATGTAGATAAAGGTTGATTTGGAGTTATCAGCTGTTGTCAGTAACATTGCTATAAATCGTTGGAGGCAAGATCATCAATGTGGCAAGGAATCATCTCATCACATCTTGTCTCCTCATCACAAGATCGCTGTGGTTTCAGCACAGTGTGTTCACACTTTCACAACATGTACTACGCCCTCCTCCTCCCCCATCAGGCTTCCTGGCACTGAGTGCCATCTGAGTCACTGTTATACAGGTAGACAGACTGGACAGGCAACAAGAAGCATACACAGCTGTCCCATCAGGTACTCATAATATATAGTCTATAAAAGAAATTCTTTGCTTGTCCTCAAAATTTACATTACAATGATTCACTTGATGTAAACTTACATTAGTATGGAAACTTCTAAATGCATTGATTTTTGAGTCCTTTCTGTAGCTGCCTTGACAGAACTAGACTTCTCTGTCTAGATATGTAGCTCTAGATCACTGTAGGAGGCTGGCAGGGCTCAGTTGGAGGGCAAAATGGCATAGGCTGCAGAGAAAGTTGGGAGCCTGACATGAAAGGTCTGTATCTGATTTCTAAGCTAAGGAGTTTAAGTCTTATCCAAAAGGTGAAGGAGAAATAAACTCTGTCTTGGGCAAAGCATGATCAGATACATACTAGGAATATATTTGCAGTAGCAACATAAAGAATTAACTAAAGGGAGATAACAGGGACCAACACGTATCAGCTAAGCCTCTGCCTGTGGCACCAATATCACATACATACTTGGTCTTAGCCACAAGTCCAAGAAATGATTAACATCCCTTGTAGATACCAGTTCAAATGCTTCTGCTTCACTTCATATCGGCTCACTGTTAATGTGCTGGGAAAGCAGTAGAAGATGGCTCAAGTCCTTTGGCCTCTGCATTCATTTGGGAGACATGGAAGAAACGCCTGGCTGTTGCTTCTTTTTTTTTTTTTTTAATACTCTTAGTTTATTAGG